AGGCCCGGCCTGGCTAGGAAGCGCCTGCCCTGGAGCCTGGCCCGGGAGCCGCCGCCCGAGGCCCTCAAGGAGGCGACGCTGCAGTACAGCCTGGCCGACGAGGCCTCCATGGACAGCGGGGCGCGCTGGCAGCGGGGGCGGCTGGCGCTGCGGCGCGCGGGCGGCCCCGAAGGCGCGGACCGGGTGCTGGAGCTCTTCGACCCACCCAAGGTAAGACCGCCGCGTGGGTGTGGACGGTGCCGGCTTTCCAGCAGGTGGCCTCGGGGTGCCCGGAGGAAAGCATGCCTTTTTAGAAATGACCTTTTTCTCTGAGAATCATTTTCCATTGGCAGATAGTAGAGTTTCCTTATACACCGCAGCAAGCTTGGCCTACTGTTAACACGTTACGCTATTGTGCACATTCGTCTTCTAAGTAAGGAACTGACGTTGGTCCATTACTATTAACTAAACTCCGAGGGTTTTTTGGATTCCCAGTGGTTTTCCCTTGATGTCCCATTTCTGATTCCAAACAGACTACTAGATTTAGTTGTCATGTCTCCTAGGGCACCATTTATCTATGACAGTTTCTCAGGGTTTCCTGTTTTGATGGCCTTGACAGTTTTGAGGAGTACTGGTCAGGGATTTTGTAGAAAGTCCAGGGTCACCATCTATGGGGATAACGTGGGCTAGTGGCCTCCAAGTTCTTTTTAAACCCTGACCCAGACTGATTGTGACAAATTGGAGGGTTCTTCGTCAGGGTTTCAAAACCGTTGTGGAATTCCTTGGGGCCGCCCATGCTTTGTGGATGTCTTATTTTCTTTAAAGTTTAGAACATTTTGTCCTTTTCCTTTGCAGCCGGCTTAGTTCCAGCTGTGCAGTTGAGGCTGCAGGGTCATGATTCTGCACACCTGACAGACTCCATCTTTGACCAGATGTGTCACGTTGATGGAATCGCGTGCCTTTCCTTTCATTCCTTTCTCTGTGTGGTCCTGTTCTGTGCTAGGGTCTTGCTCTAGAGAGTGAGCAAAGCAGACATGATCCCAGCCCTGAGGGGTCACAGTCTAGGTGGAGACCCACAGTTATTCATTCATTCATTCAAGATCTGGTTGAGCAGCTGCTCTGTCCCAGGCCCATGCCAGGTGCTGGGGGAGCAGGCATCTTGGTGGGGGCTCTTGAAGGAATACACCTACAAATGAACATGAAATTATAAATTGTATTTTGTGTTCTAAAGGAAAGCATTGGGGCCTCTGGGAGGATAATTGTGGGGCCCTAATTTGAGGGTTGGGATGAGGTGGTGTCAGGGAATTCCCTTGTGTGAAGTACCTTTCTTTTTAAATTTCATTGCCCTGTCATGGTCATGCTGATGCGTGTAAAGTGCCTCTGAAGCTCCATGAGTGTCTCCGGGTTTGCACACCCATGGCCTAGGGGCTCCCTTGTGCCTCCTCCACGTCCGAACCTGCTCCCCGCACGACACACATGCTGACTCCTACCCCCAAGGGTTACACTTCTCTGTTTTGAACTTCGTGTAAGTGAACTCAGACAGGGCGTTGCTTTTTATGTCCAGTTCCTTTTACCCAGCCTGTTCCAGAGATTTGCCCATGTTCTCTGGTGCATCAGTAGATTTTGTTTTGTTTTTTAATCACTGAGTAAATCCTGTCTGTTGTATGGATGTACCACAGTTTATCCGTTCACCTGTTGATGGACATTTGGGTTGTTTCCACTTTGGAACTTTCATGAATAATGCTGTAATGAAGTTTGCACATAGGTCTTTGTAGGGTCGTATGTTTCTGTTTCCCGCCAGTAGATGCCTAGAAGTGGGCTTCTAGGTCATATGGTAAGTGCATGTTTAACTTTATAAGAAACTTCTAAACTTCAAAGAGGCTGCATGATTTTGTCTCTCCATCAGCTGCGTGTGAGAGTCTTTTTTCATTTCAGCCTTTCCAGTGGATGTAAGCTGATATCTCATTGTGGCTTTAATTTGCATTTCCCTGATGACTCGTGAGGTAAAGCACCTTTTCATAGGTTTATTGGCCCTTGGGACTGACTCTTCTGTCAAGTGTATTTTTATTGAGTGGTCTCTCCTTTTATTATTGATCTGTAGAAGTTTTTATATATCCAAGATGCACTTTTTTTTGTACCGCACTTATCGTTTCCTGCTCTGTGGTTGCCTTTTTACTCCTTCTTAATTTTAATGAAGTCTGGTTTATTGATTGCTTTCCTTTATGGTTAGTGCTTTTTGTACCCTATTTAAGAAATCTATGCCTACCCCAGGGTCATAAAGATCTTTCTTGTCTCTTCTTCTAGAAGCTTTATTGTTTGGGCTAAATCACACTGAGGGGCCTTCAGAGGCTCCATCCTGAAGTCATGTTTGTGTGTGGTGTGAGGTAGGGGTCACAATTCTTCCAGGATCCAGTGACCCTATTTCCCTGGTGGATCACAGTGTTGCTTTCATCCTAAATCTAGTGTCCATCTTGTGCTTCTGGACTCTTCTGTTCCATTGGCCAATGAGTCTATCCTTATACCAATGCTGCACTCCCTTAATCACCAAAGTTTCATAGTGAGTCTTAAGGAGGTGACTCCTGAACTGAGATCTTAATACTGAGATAAGAATCTCTGGGCTTTCCAGGCAGAGGGAACAGCATGGGCCAAGGCGCTGAGATGGGAAAGCACGTTGCATGTTTTTAAGAAAGACTAACAGAAGTGTGGTGGGAGCAGAGAGAAGGAAGATGGGGTGTAGGGGAGGGTATGCGGGCAGAGGGTCCTGTGAGGAGTTAGCATTTCTTCCTGAAAGTAACATGAAGCCTTCGGGAAAAGCCTAAGTGTAGATAAAAACTTTTCTTGCTGTTTTTAAAAAGTCTCAAGGCTCTGACACCATGAAAGGCAAATAATGCCCCAGACACATGGACTTATCTGCGTGATAGTGTGGAGCTCCCTATAAAATTTTAAAAGCAATTCCTGCTGCTTAAAATAAGCTGCCTTGGAAAACCCAGTGTCAGGAGTCAGAGGCACCCATGTTCACACAGTGAATTAGTGTCTTTCCCAGGGGGGTTACTCAGAGTTCGCACCCCGTGGGGCCGTGGTGTTAACTGGGAGGGCATATCTGTGAGGTGCCTGGCACAGGGAAGGCCCGAGAAGTGTCACCAGTCCTCCTGGTGGTTTTGGTTGTTATGGTGATGAAATGATTTGGAGATTGAGAATGCAGTTATTTCCAGTGCTGGTCTGGGCCCTCGGTGCCCAGCTGGGTACATCATCAAGGCTCCTGTTCTTGGGGATCCCTGATGGGGGGGCCCAGTCAAAGTCCTCAGGGCTCGGAAGTGGTGATCTGGCCCTGGAGAAGCGGGGCCGGGGGAGGGCAGCTGGGTCCCTGGGGCTCGCACCTCCGCCCAGGCCGCCTGGGTCTCTGTTGTAGGCTTACTGGTTGCTGTGTGACCTGGGGTGTCCCCTCAAAAGTGAGCAGCCCTGGTGGGGCCTCTCCCATCCCCTCTGCAGAGTGCCTGGCCTGACAGAACAGGACGCAACTCCGTCAGCTTCTGATGGCTTCCCTTTGTTCTTAGAACAGTCTAGAGGCTGTTACTGAATGTTTCCCCGAAAGACTTGGCGTGTCTAGTCTCTGGGCCAAGGCTGCTTAGACTACAAGTCTTGAATGTGCCTGCCAGGTGGGCAGCCTAGACCTCTAACCTGACCCTGGAGTTGTCCATGGGAGCAGTTTCAAATAAAAGAAAAGGAAAGTTTGACAGCCAGGGCTTGAACTCTGGATTCACACCCGAGCTCTGTCACTCAAAGGGTGCTCACTGCCATCCTAGAGAAGGCCCTTGCAGCCTGGAGTGGGAAGAGGCTTAGAGGACAAGAACTGAAACAACGCAGCTGCCCAGGGATACCTCACAGGCCTCAGCCTGGCAACTGCAGCCCAGAAGTCTGAGGCTAGGTGGCCAGAGGCTCATGGGTCAGCCTCACCTCGAGTTGGGTCACAGCTCCGCCTCTGACCAGCACCTCCGACCCTAGGCCAGTCACTTCCCCGGTCAGAGCCTCAGTCTACCCATACATAATGTAGGGGTGATAGCAGTAGCAGCCAAGGGTTGAGGGTTACTGGGAGGGCTGTGGTGGAAGGGAGCTCCCCGTTAGAGGTGGTATGTAAGCGGGGGCCACAGGCTGCTGTAGTGGGGGGTTGGAAGGCGGTTGGAAGAGACACTGTGGCTAGTTCCCAAAGTCCAAAGTCTGGTTTCAGTGGCATCACTGCATGTGGTCGGAGGTGGGGCAACCCTCCCTCCTGCTGTGCGCTGGCCATCAGTAGGAGGCTGGGGACTACCTCTGCTGGGAAGTGTCATCAAAGGTCCCTTGGAAGGAAGTGACATCTGAGATAAGGTGCTGGCCTGGAAGATCTGGGTGAAGGAGTCCCAGGCCTAGGAACTGGCAAGTGCAAAGGCCCTGTGGTGGGGACAAACCAGGAGACTTTGAGAAACAACCGAGTGGCCAGGAGCTGGAGTGGAGGAAGCGAGGAGGGATGAGGTTGGAAGGGTGATGGGGCTGGATTAGGTGGGGCCATAGTGAGCATTGTAGGTTTTACACTAAGAGCAGTGGGAACACTTGGAGGATTTAGGCTCAGAGGGGCTGAGAGACACTTACCCAGCATTAGGAGTAGGCCAGCAGAAGAAACCCTCTGGGGCTATGATGTTCTGGCATCTGGGAGAGTGTGGTGTGATTCTTCTTCTCTGGTCACCATGTCCACCTGTCCTGTGGCACCTCCCTCCCCTTAGACATCTCTAGCCCAGGCTGGGCTGGGCAGGGGGAGCAGAAGGTTTACTACCTTAAATGTGCACCTACTATGTGCCACATGTTTCCCTAAATACTAGATGTGGAGACCCTCCCATGAGGTCAAGTTTATGGGCCCATTTGACAGATGAGAAAACTGAGGCTGCAGAAGGCAAAGGGACTCACTCAGGATCATACAACTAATGTTACCTGAACCCCTTATCCCAGTGGGTCCCTAGTCCCAAGCCCCCAGCCACCCTGTTGAACCACTTCCCTCCAGCTTCAGGGTGCAGAGAACCAGCTCCCAGCCAGGCCTGGCTTGAGATGTGCAATCCCACTCAGCAGTTGGAAAAAAAACAAGAAAGTTGAATTGGTTGCCAATATTTGAAAACCATAAGATGGAGAGATTTCACATAAGAACCCGGATTTCTGATTTCTCTTATGTATCTGTGGATTTGGCAGTGCTGGGCAGCATCCTGGGA